TAGCAACTGTGCCAGAAAATAATCCAGCACCAATTAAAAATAAACTGTTAGCTAGGGAAGGGGTGCAGCAGTGGGAGGAATAAAAATTCTGTGAATCGGATCCCTTGCCTTATTGCTTTTTCATCTCAAGGACTTGGGGCACTGACAGAGACATGAAATAACCTTTTCCTCCTTGATACCAGCCAGGAAGGTGCACTGGGTCAGGTTGCCCCCTCTTGGTGGCTGAGGTTATTCTCCTAAAATTAATAAGGTGGAAAGTATCCACTCAGCAGTATGAGCCTAAGCCTTCCTATTAAAACAAGCTCCCCAGAGAGAAAAGATGAGAGTTCTTTTCCTCTATATGTCATGTCATTGCATCGCACAGCTATCTAGACTTTATTAGCATACTGATTAAAGCCAGTGGCAGTATAGGCTCCAGGGGAACTTCTTAATGTGTTGCCTGGATGCATAAACCTTGCATGTTTTATTAGAACAGCAAAGTCCTATAGTTCACAAGAACTGCCTATTTTCTTTGGAATCTTTTGTATATAGCACTCTATTCCTTCTAAAACAATCTGACAAGTAATGGTTAACCAAGTAAGGGTTTTCTGGGTTCATGGGGAATAGGGTGTCCAAGTGTGTTACAAATCAATAGACTCTCATGACAAACTGTGTGTTTGTGTTGATGTTGATAGCGAGTAGGTATAGGTGAATAAAGGTAAATTACTATTTTACATTTTGTTACAATTTCTTTTGTTACAATATCATAGTTCTGTGCAGCTCAAACTTCAGGAGATACTGCTATTAAGCCCCTTCTTGGGTGCACGCCTTAACATAGTGAGAGGTTTCAAGTGTGTTAGAGAAGCCAAGAGCAATGCTGTCAGGAGGCTACATTTCTTTATGAGCATGACCACCCAAGGTGGAAGTTTCACAGCTGAGGCAACAGACTCAAGTGCATCCACTCTCTTCAGGAATAATGGCCACATCAGCAAAAGATAATGGATAGTTCCAGTGGCGATGGGAATAGAACAATAGCAGTGATACTCAAACTAACTTTTTTTAGTTCTGTGCAGAAGAAGGCAGTGATAAACCAGTGCTGAACCTTTATGCCCTTGAAAACTGTATAATGAGACAGTTCAAAATGAAACAAGAAATAGTACTGGAAGAGGAGACTCCCAAGTTGAAAAACACTGAATAAACTACTGCAGAAGAGCAAGCAGATGTGAAAGGAAAGTCCAGGGCTGTGCAAAACACACAGTTGGAACATGGAACCTGAGAAGTATGAATCAAAGTAAACTGGAAACCATAAAGCAAGAAATTGAACATTTAAGCATTGCTGTGCTTGGTGTCAGTGAATTAAAGTGAACTGGAATGGAAGATTTCCATTCAGACACCTACAAAATGTTCTACTCTGGAAATGACACACTTAGAAGAAATTGAGTGGCTCTAATACTGAGGTGATATGTGGCATAGGCAGCAGCTATAATGCAAGGTCTGACTGAATAATATCGATTAGACTTCTAGGAAAACCTATCAACATAACCACCATTCAAGTCTATGCTCCAATTACAGGTGGTGAAGTAGATGAAATTAAAAAGCTTTTAGGCAAGCGTGCCTCCTCAGGCGATCACCTACTCACCAGCAGGAGTCCACTTCCCTCCTCTGCCTCCTGTGGGTGATCTTCTACTCACTGGCAGCAGCACAGGCTTCCTTACCCTTCTCCTCTTCTGAGTGAGCAATCGTCCAAGGAGGTAGAGGAGGGAAGCATGCTCCTGCCAATGAGTGGGTGATCACCCAGAGGAGGCAAGCAAGGGAAATGTGTCACCCACGGAATGCCTGTGTAGGCACTGTGCCGAACCATTCCAAACTGTGGCTCATGCTCATCTCCAATCAGAATCATGGATACAGCTTTTCTGCAACTGCCACATAGAGACAAAGAGAAGTATTATAATGTCCAGTGCAAAAAAATAAAAGAGGACAACAAAAGTGGAAAAACAAGGGATATCCTCCAAAAGATCCAAGAAATTGAAGCCTCAATTAGGAATGCTGAAAGATAAACCAGGAAGCACAGTGTCTGACCAGGAGAAAATAAAGAGAAGGTGGAAACCGTATACTGAAGATCTGTGCACAACAGATAAAAAGGATGACAGATTCCTTTGGAAAAAAATCCTTTGATGAAGAATCTCCAGTTCTAGAAAGTGAAGTGAAAGCTTTCAGAATGCACCGGGAAGAAATAAATCACCAGGGTAGATGGAATAATGGTAGAAATATTTCAAGACACAGACTCGTCAAAATCTGAACAAGCATATGCTAACAAATGTGGAAAATAAAATGATGACTCACAGACCTAGCAATGTACAATATATACACTCCAATCCCCAAGAAAGGAAATGCCAAGGAGTACAGTAATTTTGGGACCATTGTGTTGGCATGGGGCCAACTCCAGAGGCTTTATATGGCTCCTACCTCTTCAAAAACTTGAAGTCAGATTGGATATGAAGCTTGTAAGAGCACTCTGTTTAAAAAAACAAACAAACCTTGGAACTAAAGACAACAAGTTACCACAGAACCTCTTATCTGGCTGCTTCTAATCCTCCTACTTCATTTAGCAGAGTAAAGACGCAAACGTGAGAAAAATGCATGGAGAGAGTTCTGATACAATTTATAACATTATGCGTTAGACTTGGTTAGATATATATACTGTACATGGCAACATATACATTGACATAGATATCTCTGAGCAACATTATATACATATTCAAGTAAAGCAAATGGCCACACCAGACTCACAACTGAGTGGCAAGGTTCTGTTCTGACTCTCTTGCTTATATACTGCTATCACAGCACAGATGGCAGATGATCATGGTCAACAAGCATTACATAAGCTTGTCCCACCTGTATGTCATCAGTCATTACTTGGCTTCACTTGCATGCATGACTTCGCATTCTCTACTACAATATTAAATTTAACCCCTTGTTCACTTAAAGGAACAAATCCTGACCCATTGCTCTAATTTTCCAAGCAACCAACATGATTGATTGTATTGCATTCCTGATTACTATGTATGGTATGAAAGCTGGATAGTGAAGAAAGCTGTCAGGAAGAAGATTGATTCTTTTGAAATATGATTTTAGAGGAGAGCTTTACAGATACCACAGATTCCCAGAAAGACAAACAAATAGATCTAATCAAACCTGGACTTTCTTTGAGGGCAGAAATGATGAAACTGAAGCTCCCCTACTTTGGGCACATCATAAGAAGGCAAGAAGCACTGCAAAAACCCAAAAATGCTGGGAAAAGTTGAAGGCAGCAGGAAGAGAGGAAGACCAGATATGAGATGGATTTATTCTTTAAAGCAGGGGTCCCCAAACTTTTTCACCCTGCGGACTGGCTGGGGAAGGAGGAGCACCCCCTGCACTCGTACACATGCACAAATGAGCGTGCATGCGCTTGTGTGGGCGTTTGTGTGCATGCGCAAATGGTAGTGCTTGTGCAGGCACTCGGGTGCATGTGTAAACGGTGGTGCAGCGCTCGCATGGGTGTGCTGGAGCTCAGGTGCATGCGCAAATCAGCTCTGCGGTGGTGCGTGTGTGCAGGGGTTGGGGTGGGAGGTCTGTCTCTGCGACCCGGTCCAGCTCAGACCACAGACCGGCACTGGGGGTTGGTGATCTCTACTTTAAAGGAAGCCATAGGCTTGAGTTTACAAGAGTTGAACAGGTCTGCTGAAGATAGAAGATTTTGGAGATCGCTCATTCATAGTATTGCCTTAAGTTAGAGTGGATTTGATTGGCATGTAACAACAGTGTAAGTAGGAAGAAAAACATGACCTTAGTTTTGAGGTGTCTCTTGCTCTAGAAACCACTTTAGGTACATTTGTAATTGAGATTATAGCTTCATTAGATTGCCTGTTGTGTTGCTATAGTAAGTATTCTTGGATTTTTTACAGTTGGAAGTAGTAATTGAAGGTAGTTTATAAAATGTTTGGTGTGCTCTACTTCTTTGTTTGATGGGGATTATACGGGGTTTCTAATTTTCTTCATTATCCTTTGCAATTCAGATTACATAAATGCAAGAGTAGGTGATACCCTTTATTGGACCACTAAAAATAAAATAAATAGCAAGCTTTCGTGGATGAAATCCACTTCCTTCAGCTCTAAGCACACCCCTTCATGGATGGTGCAAGAAAAAAAGTCCAGAAATTGATGTTACGTGTGTGGCAGAGATAGTAAGTTCTTCTTGTGAGGCTGGTCCTCTTACTGTCTCTGTAGCAAAGGTTTGGATTTTTTGCACTGTGGGATTGGGGAAAGAAAATAAAAGGTATTACGTACTCTTGCATTTGCATAGACAGTTATCCTTTAATGGTCTGTCAGTCAGTTTATGTTTGCTCACGCATTCCCAGGTGACAGAATAAAGTTGAAAGAAAGGCAAATTTATCTGATAAAAATGGGCTTTGATTACTCACTTATTGTAAAATGCAACATAAATATGGGTATGAGAGAGGAGTAGCATGTTCAATCCAATCAACTGCCATAAATACAAGTGTGTCCTAAACTTGCTTGCTTATTCATTCATTCATTCAATTTCTTTACCTGCCATCTGGCTACCAAGCTACACTTCCTTCTTTTTGGTACCCTAAGCTGAAAGTATCTACACAGAGGAAATAACTAGACTAAATGTGGCAGGCATGTCTCAGGTTTCCATAGTACACAGATAGTATTGAGAATTGTGAACATTGTTGGGATGAAGACAATGACAACTCAGCTGCCCCAGCAAGATACAGAAATAAAGCAAAATGTGTAACTTGAAAAGACTCCAGAGGGTCCCTTCTAGCTCTGCAGTGTTACGACAATGATGTCCCACTATTGTGAAGGAAAGGCATTTCAAACTTGTACAGAGGCACTACATATATAGGACAGAATGAACAAACTAATGAATAAAAATAATCGAATTTCTTCCCATGTTCAAGAAATGCAGCTTTCTTTTTTTCATTAACTGTCTTTCTTTTTTCCATTTCCTCCAGTGACAAAATTGCAGGTCAGCAAGTCAAAGCGGAGCATCACCCTTGTGGAGAATGGACCCATCCCTCTGAACTGCTCTGTGAAGTCTCAGACCAGCCCAGACTCTCACTTTGCTGTCCTGTGGTATGTCCACAAACCCTCAGACACAGATGGGAAGCTCATTCTGAAGACCACCCACAGCTCTGTGTTTGAGTACGGCACCTATGCCGAGGAAGAGGGGCTGAAAGGAAGGCTGCAGTTTGAAAGGTCATTGTCTGGGGGACTCTTTAGCCTCACAGTCCAGAGAGCTCAGGTCAGCGACAGCGGCAGCTATTACTGTCATGTGGAGGAATGGCTGCTCAACCCCAACCATGCCTGGTATAAGCTGGCTGAGGAAGTTTCTGGTCGGACTGAAGTCACTGTCAAGTTGCCAGGTATCACACTGCATGGGCCGTGAAGGCCCCATATGAATAGGGTGGGCTGGTGGAGGTGGCTGTGCACAGTAATCTCTTACCAAGGTCATCTTCTCATGCAGATGAATTGAATAATTAGTTATTTCAAAGGAGCATCTGCTCTTCATTTTGCACGGTGTCTAATACTTTTGTTTTCTGATTACTGCCATTTTATCCATCCTCCGTCATCATACTTCACTCCAAACACAAATTGGGCTGCTGTTCGTATCAGCTTTACATATCCTGAGTCTACTGGATGCTTGCTGCTAAAGGTGTATCCACCAGGAGCATCACTGCAGCTTCGTTTACTTTCTTTACTGTGCCACCCAGAATGCAGGTGATCAAACTGAATTTACTGCTTTCAGTACCAGAGCCACCATATCTATGAATACAAGTTACTGGAGAGCATGAAGTGAAGGATGCTTTAGCCACTATGGGCCCCTGAACCACCCCAGAAAGGTGGGGTAGAAATAAAATGAAATAAACAAACATTACACTTATTTCTTGCATATGGACAACTTTGGAGACAGAATGCCTTTCGTGTGAGCCACCAGATGTTATCTTATATCCTGGTGTAGAATTGGAAGAGAGGAGGGATAATGTGGCTCAGGCAGTTTACACACTAGTTAGCAGTAAATTTGGGCTATAGCAGCCAGTCTGTTTTTGCCACACAGAAGTTGTCAGGTGTCAGCAGACTATGTGGACTAAAGCCTGCAATTCAAAAGGAAAATCTATAGTGCAAAAAGCTCCTAAAATGCTCTTGTTTCCAGCTGCAGGAATGATTTTCTTGGTCCAGGTGTTCTCCTGGAAGCCGTCTTTGAGTGCCTTTGTTATTACCTTCCTGGTTGCTTCCTCTGTGCTCGGAGAGTCTTTTACAGAAAGCCTGTCCCTTGAGATGTTAGGGATTTGATGAGGAACTGCCTTCGTTGCTTGAGAAAGCTCTTTGCCAGATTCCTCTTCTTTGCTGCCCTTTCTTGCGCACTTCAGCATTAGATATGTCCTGGGTCTCAGCACAAGTTACGAGTCTCAGTTTCATTCCCATGCTCTCAGCCCTTTAATGAAGAGGGAACCAGGTCTAAGAAACATTTGTTTTCTTGACAGGAATAGTGTGTAGAGAAAATAAGGGAGCTCTCAGTAAATCAGTAAACTGCCAGTCAACAAACAGAGGAGCAGAAGGAAGGTGAACTTATTACAGGACAAAACGCTGGGAGGGCTGGCGGTTTTGACTGACCATGCCTTGCTTTGGGAAAATGTGTAGACTTGTAAACATTTTGTCCTTGAAGGCTCTTTCTCCCAGCAGCTCCAGGGAAAGAAGAATTACCCACTCATTTAAGGCATGAGGAAAATATGAGAAAACAAAGGTTGCTTTTGGGGGGGGAGGCGTTCTTTCCCCTTTCAGAAATAATTGTCCTGTGTGATATTACTGAAAGGCAGTGGAGACTGTTTCAAAAGTCAGACTAAGACCAGACCTTCTAGGCAACAAGATTTCTGGGTTTCTGTGTATGTCCTATACAGCTCTGGAGCAGAGCTTGCAACAGTTAAATTTTCAGCCTATATCTCCCAGAATCCCTAAGCCAGTGCAGCTGGTCATCGGGGGGGGGGGGNTCATCGGGGGGGGGGGGATAAACTTTTATAAATCCTGCTCCAGTGGATAGAGGAAATAGATCAGGGTTTGGCCAGCACCAGTACCATGTTCAGAGTCTGAAGTGCTGTTTGGTGTATCAACACACATGGAATATGTTGTGATGTTTTACGTTTCAGTGCAGCCTTTGCAGCGGGCATGGAAAGTCCATTGAACTCCAGTACTGTAGAAATTTTCTAAAATAAACATGCAGAAGAAAATCACACTCATGTTATGCTGGAAGTCGAACTGGCTATTTGTTAGCATTTACATTAAATCAGTTTAAAAATATGATTTGTATCTGCTAGGATTTCTTCACTGCTTTTCTTCTCCAGCAAAAGTGCTGGAAATGGCTAGCATTATCCAGTAAAAATACCATAAATAACAAGAAACCACCTAGTTAATATTACGAAATATACAGCGCAGTGCTAGATTAACCAGAGCTCCAGGCAGCCACTCTGGGAGAAGTTACGTCCCCTTAAGGCCAGCTGTAAGGGAAGTTCTTAATCCCTACTGAGGCCCTGCTGCTGCTCCAAATAGTCTGGTTGGTACATTTGCAATCCCTAAATCTCATTAGTGGATGTTGTGTCTGCAGCCTCACCCACCCACCCACGCATTCTCACCCACGCACTGGCAGCTCCTAATGTGGTTGTCATTATCTTATCTGTTTCATGCATAGAAAAATATTCCTAAATGTTCTTCAGATTCAATAACTATACTAAACATGTACAAACACAAGGGAGAACTACCCCATTTACCCTAGTGGCATCTTTAAAAAATATCTCAGAGGGAAAGAAAAGCTTTCCAGAAGGGTTTGTCCAGCACAGTAAAAATAACAACTAGTCCAGGTGTACTTTAACATGAAAGAGTAAGTATGTCATGCAAGAGAGATGTTGTGAACAACTGGATGGTTTCTGTGATTTTTGCCTATGTCAACAAAACAAAATCAAGGGTACAATCAAAGGATAACAGCTATCCTCTGCCACCCCCAGCTGCTGATATGGACTTGTGGAAAGACACTGTGTAACTAGACTACACCAAGAAACTAATTATTTGTGAAATGTCATGCGTGTTGAATACATATGTATTACTGCCATTTGTTTTTGTTTGTTTATTTGTCTTTTGCTTTTATAAAACATTAAAAAGACTGACAAGTTATATTTGGCATAAATATACTTTCGTGGACAGCCAGAAAAAAGAAAAAAAATAAAGAAAAGTTTAAGTAACACCATGAAACTAAAGTACAATGCAGAACTGAAACAGCAAAAACAAAAAAAACAAAAATCTGCTGTCTTGGTTTTGTTGTGTCGTCCATTGATATTTCCCGACCTTTCCCCCAGATAACTTCTTGGAAGTGAACCAGAGCCAGAAGAACCTGACAATTTTAGAGAATGAATGGGTGACGCTGGAGTGTCTGGTGACTAACCGGAGCAGCCAGGCTTCCCAGTTGTCAGTGGAATGGTATGTGTGGAAATCTGGCCACCCAGAGAAAGAAGCCGTGGTCAAGCTGACCCAACAGGGTGTCTTGTTGTATGGAGACCCAGCAGTGTTGAATGATCTGAAGAGCAGACTGCGTGTGGAAAGCCCCTCTCCAGGCCAGTATCTGCTCACCATCCAGAACATGACTGTGCAGGACAGTGGAACCTATGATTGCCGGGTGGAGGAGTGGCTTCTGGACCCCACAAATACTTGGTACCGACGGGCAGCAGACTTGTCTGGCTTGACAACAATTACAGTGAAGAAACCAGGTAAAGTGCTGATGCACATGAAGGCCAGGAGAAGTGGGAGGAAAGAGCTCAGTTATTGTTATTGCAAGTTAGCCCTGTGAACATGCCAGCTGAAATATATGTTTATTATTCAGCAAGAAACATTATCTGGAGTTGTTAGGTTGAGAAAATAGGTAGCTCCAGTCAGACTTAGAAAATTTAGGTTTTTTTGCACTGCAGTTGCCGCAATTCCATAGTCAGCAATCACTTTGGCGTTACAGTCGAAAGAAACCACTTTTCCAGGTTCTGCCACCAACTCAGCTGTAAGCAGTAGAGTTTGACTGCTATAGTTTCGCTCCTGTAATTTATTGCCAACTGTCGCTCATTTTAGGGATGCTGCAGGGGATAGAAACCAGCAGAGAGAGCATAAGAACCTGCAAGAAAATATTACTGTTGGGAGAACTTTTGGAAGCCAGGACTGGATCTGCTGTCAGCCAACCCAGGTCTCCTCCCCCTCAGAGGGGAAGGCTATCTGAGGCAGAAAGGCTTTCTCATCTGGGAAAAGCCAGGCCGTGCCATTATTTTCCCCTGATTCTTCCCCTTTCTTTTGTGTCACTGAACTCATGGACAATACTTCCCCCCCCCCTCAGTTTGTTGACAGATGGATCTCCTTTTCGATTACAGTCAACTCTCAACTTACAAACGTCCCTAGATACGAACTTTTTTATTTACGAACGGCTCTATTGGCAAAAATTGGCATCGACTTGCAAATGGGGGCTCGACCTGCGAACGAGGTCGAGGCTCCATTCGCAAGTCAATGCCATTTTTTGCGAACGGAGCCGTTCATAAATGGCTCCCTGCAAAAAGGCAGGGAGAAAGGGCTAGAAATTCAAATTTCCCGCCCTTTCTCCCTGTCTTTTTGGCTCCAGAGCTCTCAAAGGGCTTTCTCCGATGTTGGGGGAAAAGCCCTTTGAGAGCTCTGAAGCCAAAAAGGCAGGGAGGAAGGGTGGGAAATTTTGAATTTCCAGCCCTTTCTCCCTTCCTTTTTCCAGGGAGTAATTTACGAACAGCTCCATTCGCAAAAAAATGGCATTGACTTGCGAATGGAAAGCTCTCAAAGGGCTTTCCCTTGGACATTGGAGGAAGCCCTTTGAGAGCCCTGAAGCCAAAATGACAGGGAGAAAGGGCTGGAAATTTGAATTTCCCGCCCTTTCTCCTTGCCTTTTTGCCTTTTGAAATGCTGGAGCAGATTAATTCTGTTCCCATACATTTCAGTGGGAAATGGTACTTCGACTTACGAACTTTTCAAAGTAGAAACGTCATTCCAGAATGGATTAAGTTTGTAAATCGAGGTACCACTGTACTCATAAGTTCTGCAAATCTCAGAATTCCCCTGAGTATCCAGAGGATACATGCCTTGGCAGTGCCCTTTTATGTACTTAATTATAGACACTAATTGCTGAAGTTGGGAAATAGTGGCCAGTGTCTTGTTTTAAGTTTTCACCACTGCCACCTGGGCATATCTAAACAGAATTGGCTCTGGTTAATGGTTATATGAGAGACCACTAGGAAATACCAGGGATCTCCAGGTAGCAGAGAGAAAATGCACTACCTGAAATCCTGGTTTGCTTCTACTAATGGTTTACAATACTAGTCTAGAGACACCTGTGATCAGACTCATTAGCCTCCTATATATCTGAAGATTCTCAGTCATCCAGGTGAGGTTATCTGAAATTTGAGTCATGGCAGCTGGACTTCTTTCTTATTAGATTGAAACGTTTCACTACTCATCCAAGTAGCTTCTTCAGTCTGAGGAGAATTGGTCCAGTTGCCATGACTTAACTTCCAGATTAGTCTCCTATGTTTCTATAGTCATCTTAGTTTGCCCACAATATGTTATGCAGATCAAAACTAGTAGAATGGAACCGGTAATTACAATAATCTATACTGTTCTGCAGCTGGTATTTCTCATGTGGAAAGCAGAGTACCCTTGTATTCCAACATGAAGATTCTCCATTAGGATTTTTTGGAATCTGCCGTTTTTTCTCATAATACTAAAGAGGTGTCTGTTCACTCCCTGCCTCCTCTCCCACCCCACCTCCCCCGTCTCTATGTGCTCATCAACCCCACAAGTCATCCAAGGAAGATATTGTAAGGCTTAGGCACATTTTGAAAATAAGGTCAGTGTGCTTTGATTTAATGTATTTTAAGTGCCTTAGAGGTAGAGTTAGACCTTCTATCAAACTCCCATTGGTTTGTTATGATTATGTGTATGCACTTACTGGGAGATAACTGTAAGGTTCAGAGGCTTCTTTGGAAGCTCGTGTTAAAGATTTCATCTCAGAGTTAACAAGCAGTGCAAAGCATGTAGAAAGTTTTGATGGTGAACTGCTGACAACCTTTCTTTTTATAATGGAAGCATTTCAAAATAGATAAAATGAAAGCACAGAAGAAATTCTTAAGAGGTAGAGAAATGCGGCCTTGAAGTACTTTAAGCTTATATTTTAGCCACAGCTTTTGATTTGTAGCAGAAATGAAAGGTTAAAATTTGGCCTGTAAAATACCCGCCAAATCAGTGCATCAGCTCTTAGGTGCCTCGTGCACATTTCTTATGTGCTTCAGAAGGATTTATGCCTATAAAATATACATAATATAGATTGTAGATATCAGTTGACTGAATAGGATTTAGCAGGGCTATAATCCATTTGGACAGGATTTTGCACTTGGAAGAACAAGCCCAACTCCCAGGAGAGTGTGGAAATCTTATCTCTGACATCTTTGCTAGAGAAACTTCTTTTCAACTGTTCAGTCTGAAGAAGAAAGATCTAAGATCTCTGGGGGAGGAATGCCTCCAGGCAATAATAATTTTGAATGCTGCACACATTATTGCTAAGCTTCCATATTCTGCTTTCAGGCTCTAAGTTCTCAGATGGCCTGTTAGCAGCCTCAAGAGAGATGAAACATTCTAATTTGAGGTGGAAATTCTTGAGCTGTGCAAAAGGGGTGGGGGATCATTAATTTGGCATTCTTTAAAATCTCACAAGCTTTTTGACTTATTAACCAGGTTCAGAAATAATGAATGTCTTTGTACTTCAGCAGTCCTTTGTCCTGTTCATTTAGCTCTATGAATTCATCTTTTCTTCTGAAAGCACCTTTGGGGATTATTGATCAGATTTGCAACCCTTGAGTCTGTGAAATGGTGACCAAGCCAAAAGAGAGGAAATATCTCAACTAGACTTTTTTTTTACAGTTGGTTGCATTCTTAATGATGCAGCCACTGCTTTTGTTATATTGATAAGCACAATGTGAGTGAATAAGTATTGCCATGAAACACCTAAGAATATGCTAATGTTTTTCACCCTGGGTCTCACAATACAAAGACCTTGTTGGCTCCAAGGCATTCTTGGCCTGTAAAAACCCAGGCATCTGAAGCCCTTAGTCTCCTGGCTATTGCACTCCACTTGTGCTCACCCCTGGCTTACCTGGGAGCACCCAAGAAGTTAACAGTCCTGCAACTCAACCCTTTCAGAGCCGAACACCAGCCCTATAGGATAGGAGCATAGAAACCATTTATAGCTGACCATGGAATCAAGACTGGATTCAGGACTAATCTTGAAAAGCCAGAATAATGAAAAAGACAGAACACTTCTGCAAAAACAAGAAATAAGCCAAATTACAAAAATAGCTTTAGATTAAGCACAACAAGAAAAATAATACGAATTGTATGTGTGATCTGTACTGTCAAGTGGGAACCGACCTATAGCAACCCTAATAGGATTTTCACGGTAAGTAAGATATTTAAGGAGTTCTCCACTCCCCCAGTGAGTTTCTGTGGCTGAGCATTCAAGCCTTGTTCTCCAGAGTCTTAGGCCTTCACTCTATCCACTACACCACACTGGGAATACTTTCACTAAGGGCCCTCAGAATAATAGCAGACGGACCTCTAAGTGTCGACAGAGTGCAGCTCCCACTCACATAAAGACAGGTTAACATCCAAAGACATGTGGCCCATTTTAGCTTTTTATGGGTTTTCTTATATGTACCTCAGCCCTTAATAACTGCAGTGGCCAAACCTAGTTTCATCAGAATCTTCAGGAATGCTTGCAGACTTGTTCATCTTCAGGAGAAGGCAGCTGAAGTTAATTGGCATTAAGCCTGCTATACTTTATCTCATGGTCAGACTGCCCTTGGCCAGCAGCACTTCACAAGATAATGGCTTTTCTCATGAGGACAGCTTTTCTCTAGTTGACACCAACTCTCTCCCATCCAGTAGCTACACCTGAAACCTGAATGGAAATGGTTTGGTTTTGCATTTCTTCACACAGACCAAATGATACCATGACACTGTTTTCCCCCCATTTTGCATGCACTGCACAGCTCTTGCTGAGCCCTTGAGAATGGGAAAGCTAGTGCTCAGCAGACGTTTTGGATCGCAATTTCCATAATCCTTTACTGTAGGTCATGCAGGCTGGTGTGGTCTTTGTTTGTTTGTTTTTTGTTTGCTTGCTTTCTTTTTTACTGTTGTCCGAAATATTGGGAGGGCACTAGTTTGTTTGCCCCTGCTGTAGCGATTGTATGCAAAGCAGGAACCAGCATAATGCTAGGCATGCCAGCTAACCTGAATCAGTGGTTCATATACTTTAGCCTTCCAGAGGATTCAAACTTCAGCTCCCAGAATTCTTAACCATCATCCATGCTGACTTGGGTTTCTAGGAGTAAATATCCAAAACAGGTGGAAAGTCAAAAGTACAGAACCACTACGTAGGAAGTCCTTTGGTTATATTTGGGGGTTTCTTTTGTGTGTCATTGGAATTTCATCATGACTGCTCCATGTGGATCCATCCCATAGCACTCCATTAAACTTGAAGATTCCATGGGAGAGGCTACAGGAGATGTGCCCACAGTTTGTCTGCCCCACAGTTGTGATCTTTCTCCTTTGAATGCTACCCAAGTTATAGCACAACCATACCTTTCTGGTGGAGATACATCAGAAGTACTGTATCTCCGGTTACACAATATCACCTTGTTATAACTATAGTTCTTGGAGTACCCAACAAGCCCCACCCCCAAGGGTGGCATGAGCACCATCGTACTCTGCACAGTGAGGATCTTAATGGTGACAGGTCAGGCTGGCAAATCACCAGCAGTTTGTTCAAAACGGTGGAAGTTTAAAAGGCTGTGTATTCAACCTGCCTCTCCCAGCAGCCGCCTTCCAAAAGACAGCACTGCAGGAATCCCTGCTCCGCCCCTTCATCTGAGTGGGCAGTTGCTGGAAGAGGCAGAAGAGGGAAGCTGGGACTGGTCAAACACCCAAAGAGAAAGAGAAGGGCAGTGTGTGCTGGCTGCTGAGTGGGGGATCTGGCTGGGGGAGTGGGGGAAGGGAACATGCGTCACCTGTGGTGTTGGTCCAATGATCTGGCAAGAACCTCTGAAACAAGGTTGGTGCCCTCTAAGGTTGTGTCTGTACAGCACCCATATTTTCTTAACAGCGAGTTTGCCCCAGTAGAAATACCTTTGCCTGCTGAAAAAAGGACAGTAGGGGGTGGGGGCGGGGGATCTTGAAGTGAATTCCATCGCCTGGGAGCAGCCACTGTCTCTCATGTTTCCACCAAACATGGCTCAGTGGAGGCTAGGTATCCAGATAGCTTGCTCTTTGCCATTTTTCATTTGCTGTCCTACCTTTTATGCTGAGCATAAGAAAGAGTCCTTGCGGGCACATTTTGTTTATAGCAGTCACCTTTAGGGAGCTGTTTTTCAATGAGTGGTTCACGGGACATTTCCTACTTTGACCATAATCGTGTAGTGTGCTAAAGCCATGATTCTGCATGTGCACATGCGGTGAGTTAAACTAATCTGTCTCTGTACGTATTTCCCCAATTTTCAGATGCCTCCTTGCAAGTGGATACAACGGCAGCCAACCTCACCATAGCAGAGCAGGGACACTTCCATTTGGATTGCAACATCTTGTCAACCTCCATCCGGGATTCCCATCTGTCTGTGACTTGGTTTGCCACGAAAACAAAAGAGAAACATGGGCATGCTGGTCGTAAGGATGTGGAAGAGAGGGAGGTCTTACTGAAAGTGAGCCAGGATTCCATCTTTAGCCGAGAAGGTGGCCTCTGGGAAGGCAGGCTGTGTTTTCAAAGGCTCTCAGCCAAGTTATATCGGCTGACTGTGTTGCGGGCAGTTGCCACAGATTCTGCCAATTACTCTTGCCGGGTGGAAGAGTGGCTGCCTGACCCCCGGGGAGTGTGGTACAAATTGGCTGAGGAGGATTCTGGCCCTACTGCAGTTTACGTGCAAGACACAGGTGAGGTATAATGAGCTTTCTTTGGGACAGGGGTCTCAAACATGCGGCCCGGGGGCCATTTGCGGCCCGTCAGACGATAGTTTACGGGCCCCGCCTGGCCTGCCCCCCAAAGCACCCATGCATTGTTTACTGTCAAAAGTAAACAAAAAAGCCTCACCTTGCTCGCCGGCTCTCTCCCAAGACAGCGCCTCTTGCACCCTCCATCTGGAACTGCAGCCAGCCTGCCTGTCTGCGGGCTGGCAGGCTGCAGTTCTGGATGGAGGGTGCAAAAGGAGCTGTCTTGGAGAAGAGCCGGCGCGCTGCCAGCCGTTTTCCAGCAAGCACCTGAGCCGCCACCGCGCGATGCCTGAGAGCGGAGATTACTCCTGGCCCATCCTCGAAGAGTGCCTCCAAGCCACCAAAAGCAGCCGCTGCTGCCTCCGAGGAGCCGGAGGGGTTGTGGCCGGCGATGAGGGCTCGCGCGCCCCTCCTCCTCCTCAGAGCTCCAGCCAGGCTAAGGAAACTCCTGGGCAGCTTCCTCAGGCTCTTGCTCTGCTTGGCGGAAAATCTGATGCGGCCCAGCCTCACCCAGACTCTGCCTCCAGCGGCCCCCAGGTCAATTGAGTTTGAGACCCCTGCTTTGGGAGAAATGAAAAGGATATGTAATAGCTTTCTTTTGTTTTGTTTTTAAACTAATGAAGGAAAATGTGCACTATGGTATGTTGCTGAAAATGAATCTGTGGGAGAATGTGCTTCTGTCTTTGCCCTGCATTACAGCTGCTGCATTCCTGAAGTAGGGCAGCCAGAAGTGTTCAGTCACAAGGGTTTTACACTGATGGTTGGGGGCTCTCAGAAGGGGATGGGCAAGCAGGTACCATCCAGCTGTTTTGTGCTCACATTTATATCTAGCTAAACTCCAGGCATGATGGCCAGTAATCCTTGCTCAAAAACAACAAATGGAAGAGGCATTTTTTTCAAAGCAGAGATGTACACATTTACTTCTGCCTGGATGTCATTCCATAAGGCCAGCCAAAAGCATTTCTGTTGTCTGAAGCACAGTTTTGATTCCTTCCTTCTAATGATTCCAGAGTAATAAGCAAAACCTTTTAAAAAAAATCTGATATAAAAATTGTACTCTATGATCATAGAGTTGCAAATCATCATAATATGCCAATTCTACTTTTGACTACCCTTTTCAAGGTTTTCAAGGTAAAGAATACTCAGAAGTGGTTTATCATTAATGCCCTTCTTCTGGGGGTGCCTTTGGATTGTGCAGCTTGCCCAAGTCTTACACTAGCGGGTTCTACTTCGCAAGACACATAGTGAGGGAATCAAACTCCCAATCTCTGCCTCCATAGTCTGATAATTAAACCACTGAGCAGTTACAAAGCAGAGGCAAAAAGTAGCTCTTCAGTCAGTAAACAACAACAAAAAAACTGAATTATGAATTGAATAAAAGGACATTTGGGGCAAGTGCAATTTTTAAAAATTTGACATGCTTGGCCAAAGAAGTTTTTAAGTATTTCCTATTTTGTAAAATTATGAAAATAAACGTCCTTATGCTGTGATTCAGGTAGCTGCCCAAACACAGGGCTGGCCCTAGCCAAACATTGGCAGTCACTGTCATGTTTAGTGGCTGATAATCTAGATTCTTAAAGTTTCATGTCTTATGTACCGCCAACTCCTCAACAAAGAACCTAAGCCCAACCATAATAGAAACAGCAACAAAAAACAACCCCCAGTCTTTCAGAAAGGGACAGTTGCATACACATTTAGGGATTATTTTATTTTTTTTTCCAGTACATTTCAGGGACATGAAAAATTTTAATAGTATTATTAGGTCTAAACACAAACAAAAAATGTAGTCCCATTAATAGTAATGCTGTTCATACTGAATTATTTGTACAGTTATGGAAACCCTGCATCCCATTTAGACTATTTCTGCATCACACAGGTCATATATGTACCTCTGAGCTAATATTTATAGAAAACAAAAGGCATTGCTTTGAATATTCATTCATCTTTGCCCCTTGTTTCATCTTTCCAGGTTCCTCTCTACAGTCTGTCATCTGCTCCAACGACTCCCTTTTCTACTTTGTGTTCTTCTACCCCTTCCCCATCTTTGGCATCCTCATCATCACCATCCTGCTGGTACGATTCAAAAGCAGAAACTCTAGCAAGAACTCTGAAGGCAAGAATGGGGTCCCCTTGTTGTGGATCAAAGAGCCCCACCTAAACTACTCACCCACCTGCCTGGAGCCTCCTGTTCTCAGCATCCATCCAGGAACTATAGATTAATTGGAAAGGATATCAGTGGAGGTGACAGTGCACCTGGAACCCAAAGGAAGTGTTTGTTGTTTTTTTATTCAGCTTCTGTACTTTTTGGAGTCTGACTCAGCTCCGCTGGGGAGTTCATTTCATCTGTTGGAACTAGAGAAGGTTGAGCACCCCAGAATGCCTCCTGCAAAGATCAGGCCAATGGCTAAGTCGAATTGGAAGGTCCATGTTGTTCATTGTATATAACGAATTTTCATATTGCATTTTTTCACCATCAGTTCTCTTCATTTGCCCTTTGGACTGTAATTATGTTGCTTAAAGATGTGTTCTTCTTGTACTGTGCCAAGGACAATCTCCAGAGTGCACTGATATTGGTAGGGCTCTGGTTGTGCCAAAGCGGGGGCACACTATTTTGATTAAATGGTTTTCTATCCAGTAAGCTTGGCTTGACAACCACCAGTCCTTTGTTCCTGGAGAGGGCCAGAAAAGAACTGGACTGGCTGCCTCTTGTTGTGGAAGAAATACCACAAGGATCAGTCCTTGCCAAGCAACATCATTTTCTGCCTGGCCACCTGGTTAAGTCTCCAGCTGCTTCCCATTTTGAGGACCGGCAAATGCAAACAAGGTGGCTTTGCCACTGGCAGTTATGTTCCTTGGGCCAGTTGCAGTCCAGCAAAGGCCTAGACCTATCAGTGAGGCAGGAACCATTCTGGCTTTGGTGTCCTTACAGTAACAATTCTGCCTGTAACAATTCTGTTTACAGAAGCAGCACACACAGGGTTGCCCTCTGAATTTCATTACGCTACACTGCCACCCTTTCGCAAAGAGGGCAAGGCCAAAAGCCTGAACTCCTGATTCTGAAAACATTCAGTCGACCCAAGGAATGATTTAGGAAGGGGGAGAAGATAGCTGCCTCTTTGAGGAAGCCTGGCTTGGTCATCCTTTGTAATGATTGTAGGATGTTCAAACAGAATGTGGATGTATTGACGAGTTTTCATTTTGTGCAGCATTCATGCCCTATGATAAGGAATGGACATCAGGCGGGAGAGGATTTGGATGGTCCCTTTTCCCCTCGTGTGCGTGTGTGCCCGCCCGCCCCCCATTTTGTTCTTTCAGCTTTGTTTCGCCAGGTACAACACCCTTCACCACCCTTCTGTATTCCCCACAGCCCTGCAAATGCCATTGTGGACAATGAGAATATGGTAGGGCAAAAAAAAAACAACTTTGTTCTTTCTGTGAAAGACATGACATTAACAAAGAAAATTTGGGCTCAGTGCAGGGAGCACTCTTTCACCAGATTAAGCCAACTGCTCCCCTCCTGCACTGAACCAGAAAATGTTTGTTACAGTGGACCAGCTCTCTCATGCTCCTGGCTCTAGCTGCTGGCTCAGGAAAGCATGCTTTCCAGAAAACTAAGGTTCGCCGTCTTCCTAAAAGTCTTCCTGGCACAGCTGGTCATTACCTTTTTCATAAAAATGGCTGATTCTGTGTAGACACAGGATGCCAGCATGTTTTGCTGCCTTGGTAGGAGGGGGCAGCAGGTGGAGGCAGAAGGGATTGGTGACAGAGTGAGCTTTCCTAAAAAGTGAAAACCTTTGTCTTGGGAGATTTGACTCATTGGAGCACTTTGTGGAGATAAAATGTATTAACCTTAATTAATGGTGCTTTATAACTGGGGAAAGTCCATGCAGAGTTTTCTGTTCCTCATAAACTCTGCCAGAAGGAGAAGGATGTACATTTTCAGCTCGCTCACTTTAGGGCTGAATTCATAGTATCCACCTGAGCTGTAAGGTTTTTGAACTATCTCCTTTCCCTGTAAAGGTGGATTTTGTAGCATCCCAGTAAAGCATCCCAAAAGTATCCTGGTCAAACACTGCCTCTGTCAGCTACAATTATTCCTGTACTTTTTAAGAAAAGGAAAAGAAACACCACTGTGTAACTTGAAAACACCTACACCTTCATCCTCTTTCCTGCCTTTATATTCAGAAGTGAGCAATTGGGATTGAAGAGCTAAACAAAACAAAACGAGCCCCTGGTTCCTTCCTCTTGTTTTATAAATGTAAAATGTCCTGTACATATACTGCTTTGGGGCAAGAATTACAACAGTTCAGCTCTTAAGGAGGAAGCAAGTCGGCAAGAAAATTCCCTGTCCTAAAGAACAGCTCTTTCCCTTTCTGTTTTTGCATTGGAAATTGCTGAACTGACCTGGTAGCATCACTGTTTTCCTACATGACCAGCAATTCTTCCTCTCTCTCTTCACCCCCCCCCATGCCTTCTGCTTATTGAAAGCTATCCCACAGCGACCTCCAGTGCCCAGTCATCATAATCCATGGCTACGTACGCCTGAAAAAAATGCAGATATGTTATCAAAGGCAGTAGACTTGAATGGGAGGAATCTCCACAAAGCGGCAAATTACTTGCCCTTTGTGCTGTCCAGTGTGGGACAACCTTTTTAAAAAATGATGGGCACTGCCTCTAAAAAGCTTTAGCAAACCGTTCTGGACGACCCTTCTGCTACCAGAGGAAAGGGAACAAGCTACCTTTGCATGATATGAGAAAACGGTGTGGAATTTTTTTATTCTTATTGTTACTATTAAAGATAACTTTGTACCATGTTGCACTAAATGTTTTATACAACACATGCAAGAGCTGTAGTAAATTGTGTTGAAATTGTGGCTTGCTGTCTTGTTGATGGTTGTAAAACGGTGATGTCAAAGCTTCCCTTTCTGTCTTACTGCAACTGAGCTGGCAGGAGGGCTCCCTACCTGTGGCTACAATGCCTGATTGTATCATCAACTGTGGCAGGCCCCTGGGTTCATGCTGTAGCCATGCACTTGGCACATGAGCTGCATATGGGAGTGATTCTGCTGAAAGCATGAATGAGCAGCTGTTGTGGGCATTGGCAGGGCCAGCACTTAGGACACATGCTCTCAAGCTCTGCCAAGTGGCCTGAAATGAGCCACCTGTAGTACTGCTAGAGGACAGATTTCACTGGCCTCTTTCCATATGATGCTGAACTCGTAAGGTTCTAGTCATTCAGCTGTGCCGAGAATTAGATGCATTGGAAAGGGTCTGAAAGAAATGGTTTTCCACAAACAAAGCAAAACAGAATGGGAGGAAGGAGGCCATGAATCCTCATGCCATTTGCAGGGAGTAGTGGTCATAGGTAGCAATTTTATAATTTATCAGTGAGAGTAAAACAACTCTTTGCTGGTGAAGTGTCTTAAAAGCTTTAATGTAGACTTCCATCTGTGGATTCAGCCCCAGCAGTACATCTACCCTTCAGAGGCACAAGCAAGTTTAATAATGAAAAGTTTTATTAAAATGTTAAGGATCTTAACTTCATTTTTACTGTAATTATGTGGGGGGGGGGAATGAAAGAACAAGAAATTAATAACATGTTTGCATTGCAAGTTCTCTAGAAAAAGGTAGCAATCAGTAAAGCAAAACAAGCTGTTTCAATGAAACAAAGATGGTTAAACTTCATTTTTTTAAAAATGGCAGTTATAACCAACAGGTTACTTGTTAAACTTGACCAACTAAAGATGGTTAAACTTCATTTTTTTTAAAATGGCAGTTATAACCAACAGGTTACTTGAGTTCTTTACATGTTTTATATTTTGAACTTTCAAAATCATAGACTCGTCTACAAAAATTAACGTTCTGGGACTGGAGTTAAACATTCTTGGAAAGTTCAGGAACAGCATCTACAAGTAAAATGGCCTTTGGTTTTATTTTCATCTTTAGTGCAAAAACATTGAAAGAGGTCTATACACACGTGCCCTAAAAAGCCATTCTCCCTGAGGTAAAATGTGTGCGTTCTTTGTGTCTGTTCTTGGATAGTTTTGGTTTCTTAGAGCCTATCCAGACTGGCCAGTTTGGATGTGGGGTAGAATGGGCTACAAAGAGTCTGTTGAAGTGGGGGAAGGAGTGATGTGCAATTTGGCGCACCCCTCTCATCTGTGAACACCAAGCAACATCTTGCTGTCAGTTAAGTGCTTCCCTGATTGTCTTCAGAGGGTCAAGAGAAGTGAAATTAGTCTTTAAACACTGCTCCTCTCTTGTCATTGCTGTTCTAATTTCTACCCCCCCCCCCGGCTTCTTTCTCAGACAAACCTGCAGCTGCAGGAGGCTGCTATCTCCCAGCTAAATTAAGCTAGACAAAAAAAATGCATACCCTACTGCTGAGCCAGAAAGGTGCACAACAGCTCTTAAATGGGAAAGATACATCACTCTGTGAAGAAACACTTGCAAATGAAGTCTTTTTTCTTTAAATCCAAACCGTGCCCTCAGCGATCCATATACCTTATCTATATGCCAGTGTGGACAGGTTCTTTAGGCTGCAATGCCTTACTACTGGCCAATATGAGTGGGCACGGGGGAGTGACAGCTGGATACGTAAATGCCCTCCACCCTTAGCCTGTAGTTGTCAACTGAATTACTACAGACTTTCCCAATGACACTGCTGTTCGAATCTCATCTCTCAGAGGATGCTTATGAGCCTCTCAATTTTAAGACCTGTATTCTCCCCCTCAGTACTCAGAAACTCAAAGACCATTAACTTACCCCTCCTGAAAAGTTTTTGTTTTAGGAAAGCAGGAGTACAATTTGACTCTTCCTATTGCACCTCCCTGACGACCACATGGAGCAAATTTAGGAATGGCACAGGAAGATGGAGAAAAATCTTGTTGCATATGAGTGTAGTTCCACACCTGAAACACGGATTTCACTTAATGTTAATATGTCATGGAATTATTTTGGGAACTCATGGGATAGGCCGTTTGTTTCACTAAACTTATTTAAATGTCTTAGAGCACTTCATTCTTTTGGACCAGCATAAGTTGGAGGATTTGAGGATATTTTTGTGTCCAAAACTGTTCCCCTGCCAAACCCCAGCTTTTAATATTCTTGAAAAGAACTGGCAGCAGCAGAGATTTTTGGAAATTTATTCTCTCCAAAAGCTCATCTAACCAATTCCAGGGATGCACCGGTTGACAACGATAATCCGTTCCAGCAAAATAGCTGTTAAGCGAAATCATTGTCAAGCGAGAAAAAAACCATTGGAATGCATTGAAAACCAGTCAATGTGTTCCAATGGGGAATACCTCATCGTCCAGCGAAGATTGCCCATAGAGAACCGCCGATCAGCTGTTTAAAATCACTGTCTTCCGAAGCAGGGGTCTGGAAGGCAGCCATTTTGTGAAGGGAGGAAAGCCATTTTACAAAAGGAAGCCATTTTGCGGAGCTTCGTCATTTAGCGAACAAACGGTTCACGAAGCAGGCTCCTAATCTACGTCAAGCGAAAAAAACCATTAGAACCATTGTTTTGCGATTGCAATAGCGATGGCAAAAAACTCATCGTAAAGCGATTTTGACATCATGCGGGGTGTCAAATGGGGCACCACTGTACCATTTTACTGCTCTGCGTTCAAGCTGAGATGATACAGTTCCCTTGCTACTTTTTCCAGTCGGTCTCTGTATTCAATTTCCTTATAGTTACTTGCACTAACCCCTCTGAAGCCATACATTGCCCCATACCAACAGGCAGCAATAACTGCAGTAGAATCACTGTCCCCACCATGGAAAAAGCCCCGATTAGCTAGATCAGTCCAGTTGGAAGAGCCAAGGAAGGCGTCATAAGCAATCATCGGAGCATCATGTCCACTGCTGCCTCCCCAGCCAGAGAAACTCAGGGACACGTAGAACTCATCTCTCTCTTTCACACCGTATACTTCAGGGAAGGATGGAAGGGACTTCCCATCTGAAATGCCTCTTGTTTCCAGGTATTTTTTCCACTGACTTTCAAAGTAATTCCTAGGATACAGAAATAAAAAGAATTTCCTTCAAGATCCTAGCTAAAAAAAAATTGTGTGTATTACACAGAGTTTGGAAAGGTTACTTTTTCAAAAAGAAAGAATAAAACCATAATTTAAAAAAAAATCATTTTGAGAACGAGGCAGATTTGTTAGTGTGACATATTATACCCTGGTGGGCCTGTCCAGACTGGGTGTGAGGTGGATTGGGCTACAACAGGTCTGTTGAGGCTGGGGAGATGAACCATGTGCCATTTGGCATGCTCCTTCCATACAAACAGCAAATGGCCTCTTGTACCCCAATCATCTGTCAGTTAAGCACTTCCTCTGATGGTCTGTGGAAGGTCAGGATGATTTTTTCTCACATTGCTTCTCATTCCCTCTGTTGGTGTTGTTCTGTTTTGTCCATTCCCCCCTCCCTGCTTCCCTTCCCTCCTTCACCTCCCCCCCTCTCCTTCTGAATATGAAGCCATGATGGCAGTTAGAAGCTGAGGTTGTTGGAGGTTGCTATCTCCTGGCTAAACACAATAAACTATGAGCATGCCAAAAAGAATGCATGCCCTATCAATGGGCCAGAAAGGTGCATAAAAGCTCTTAAAGGGGACATATGGCTTGATCTAGGTAGAAACACTTGTGGACAAGGTCTCTCCCACCCCCAATCTAAACGGTGCCATCAGCAATCCATATACCATTTCTAAATGCCAGTGTGGACAGGCCCAAGGTTTCAAAGTTTTGCAACTGTATGCAACATTTGTTCCTCTTTATTATTCAGATGCTGCACTCATTAGAACAGGAAACCACTGTGTAGCTGTTCACTATCAAACGTTTATTAACTGTAATTACAGATGGGCATGCAGCACTGGTTCAAGCCGGTTAGGCCAATGGCTGCACAGCTGTTCCGTGGTTCAGTGCCCTATCCCTTCCAGCGGGCACCAATTCAGAGGCAGCACTCCAGCTTCCCTGCCCTGCCTTCTCTGGACGCTGTGTCTTTGGGCACCTGTTGGAAGGGACAGGGCACCAAACTGATGAACTGGCATAAACTGCTGAATTGGTGGTATGTGTCAATCTCCAATTGTAATCATACTAGATGCCCTTGGAATAGTCGGACTACTACTAAAAACACAGCAGCATTGCTCACCAGTGCTTCAAGTTCTGTTCCACACAGGAAGCAGAGCTCTTGATGTAACTTTTGGCCTTTGGCAGCACCTCCATCAGCCCTTTCCCCCACTCATGGCTTGGCTTACGATTCACAGCATAAGAAGTGAAGAGAGCAGAAGCCAAGGATCCAAGGTAGCCAGTAGGATTGTGGTGGGTCATGCGTCCACTCTCTATACTGATAGCAATCAAGGTTTCTAGTTGTTCTGGGTGACGATATCTCAGTCCGATGCACATTGAACGCATGGCTGCTCCACAGCCGCCGCCTCCTTTACTGAAGTTGGGTATCCAACTAGCTGGATTGTCCGGATCCAACCTCAGTGCATTTTCCATGCAAGTACCACCTATGAAAGTCGGAAGAGACAGTGAACACAGTCCAAATACATGAAATGTTGATTTATAACTCAGACTGACCTGTAGTTAAATATGCTCAGAATATACACAACAAGAAATATTACTTTCTGGGATTATTGGAGATATAGTTCAACAAGTATTATTTCCCTAACCTTTGTTGCTTAGCAACCAAGGATGAGCCCAATACAACTGTGAATATGACCCTGTCTGATCTGGAAATTAGTCAGGGACCTGTGCTGGTGTGCTGGGAGCCACCAGAAGGGCTGTGAGAAGGACTAGGAAACAATCTTACCTGAAACACTAGAGAGCCATTTACAGTGATAACAGTAAGGGTTTTAATGTACAAAATACCTAATTCAGTTTAAGGCAGTTTCCTATGACTTCTTAAGGTGTGTTTGCTTGCATTATCCCATTGTCTTCTGTCAAAGCATTTCAATTAAGCTTACAATCAGCTAGCAAAAACACATGGCAGGCACAACATGAAAGAGCAATAGACATGACAGTCACGGCACAAAACAAACACAGCAAAAAGTAAGCCTCCAACCTGTACCTCAGGATCAGAAAACCCAAATGTTCTCCAAAATAAAAATAGTCTTCATTTATTGCCAGAATGCTGAGATGACAGACAATTGCCCCACAGAGAAGTTCCAAATCACAGAAGCAAAACTCTACAGCTGGAAGGTACCCCCAAGGGTTATGTCTAATTCCATTGCTGAGGTAGGAAACCAGCAATTAAAATATCCCTGACATGAAGACCATCCAAATATTGTTTAGAAACCTCCAGTAAAGGATCTTCTACCAAATCAAGGTAATTCATTGTTGAGCAGATCTTACTGTCAGGAAGTTTTCACTTATATTTAGGCAAATTTCCATTCTTGTACCTTGAGTCTACTAGTTCAGGCACTAACTTTTGCAAACACAGAAAATACACTTGCTTCATCTTCCACATAACAGCCCTTCACGTGTTTGAAGGCAGCTATCAGATCATGTCTTAGTCTTCTCTTCCCTAGAGTACATATATCCCCTCCAATCATTCCTCACAAAGCTTCGTTTCCAGCTGTTTAATGATCCCGATCACCCTCCTCTAGAAACAGGACAGTTCAAACATTTGAAGGGCTTTTATGTGGAGGATGAAGCAAGTATATTTTCTGTGGTTGCAGTATCCTTAAACTGAGGTGCCCAGAGTTGGGCTCAAGGTTACAGGTAAGGTATGACCAAGGCAAAATAGAATGATAGTATTACTTCCCTTGTGGTCTGCTAAGACCCTTGAATCCTTCCCACTGATGCTACTGCCAAGTCAGATTTCAGCCATCCTGGTTTTGCGCATCTGATTTTTCTTGCCTAAATGCAGATTGCAGAACTCTTTTTTCCCTGTCAAAACTAATTTTGTTTGTTCTGGCCCACTTTTCCAATCTATAAAAATGATGTTGAATCATGTCTTTTAAAATACTAACTACCCATTTCAGTTTGGTGTCATCTGAAACTTTGATGAGCCTTTTCCCTACTCCTTCACATTAGTCATTTACGGAAGATGCTGAACAACACCAGGCTCAGGACAGGACCCTGTAGCACCCCACCTGTCAGTTCTCCACAGGATGATAAGGAACCTCTGAGAAGCACACTTTGGCTGTAGCCTACCAGCAGGCTGGTAATCCACCTAACAGTAGCTTTATGCAGCCCACATTTTATCAGCCTGATCACAAGAATATCACTGGGAATCCTGCCCAAACCAAGATTTATTACATCAACTGTATTTCCCTCATCCACTCCTGGGAGAAAAGCAGCATATTCAATCAATCAGCCTACCAAGCTGGTGGTGGACGTGGTGATGATGATGAATGAATGAATGAATGAACAACAACAACAACAACAACAACAACAACAACAACGACGGTGGTGGTGGTGGTGGTGGTGGTGATTATGTCAGGCATAACTTTTTATTGAGAAAATCATGCTGGCTGTTAGTAATCACCAGTTTCTCAGATTTTTAAATGATTTGTTCTAACCCCTTAGTACCAACATGGGAAGATCCCTATCCTATATAACTTGATTTCTAATATGACAAAGAAGCCTGAAACAAGGTTTCTAAAGCCAACATCAGTGGATGGACAGACTGATGAAGAAGTGGTGCTTGCTGGTTCAGAGCAGTCCTATCCTTCAGGCAGACTGAGCCAACCAACTCAAGTGATAAATGTTGGAGGCAGAACGGGCAGCCTTCCATCCATTTCTGTCTCCTGGGAGGACACAGCTCTGTACATCACATGACTTGTCCTTCATTATTTAAGTCCACCTGCCCTTGACAGTAGTGGAGGACACTACCCCACTGCCAGTGTTTTGATGTAAATGACAGTTCAACCATCTTCTGTATAGATAACACAGCAGAACATAACCTTGCCCTCTACCTCAGACAGGAAACCATCCTGGGCCACTCCTGTTCTAATTTTGAGGGCAGAGACATTTTTACTTCTGTTTATAACTTGTAGGTCCCAACTACAGATATAAATGTGCATTAAAAGGAGGCTGTGAGTATGTTGTGGGAACGGAGAAGAAGGGGATGGATCCATCCTTATTGTAGGATTGAGGAATGACCTGGGTTGGAAGTACAAGCAGATTGCATTTTATAATTTAAAAATTACCACTGGAGAAACTCAAAGAACAGGTAGAAAGAGTCTGTTTATCACCTTATTGATAAAATAGGCTTTGTACTCTTCCTTGACCAAATTATGAACATGGATCTCCGGGTTCTCTGGGGTACTCTTCTTAAACCTACTCCAATGCGTTTAAGGGACAAACAATGCAGGGATTAAACAAAGAACATATCTCAACTCCATCAGTCTGGCACACTTCGTATTCCCTAACACTGTTAGCTTATTTTCTCATTAAACATATGAGACAGAATCTTGTTGAAATTAACATGTGCCAAGAGGAATTGCAGAAGCTGAATCTGTTAATGGATGGGTTATTAGTCTCATGGTGGTCACAGTTCTGGTCAAGTGCTCTATACCTAACCAATTACCTGAAATTAAGCACAGAAACTGTCTTGCTTAATGTACAAATGCAGATATGCTTTGTTTGTGAGAAGCATTTAAAATCAAGTGAATTGCATTCTTTGGAACTTCTCACATACAGGTTTTGACTCTCCTGTGTAAAGTGAGAATGTTTCCCACATTCATTAGCATATCTCAGTTTACAAACTGCCCATGCAAAAGAAAAAAAGCAATCCTCTGCGGGTCTCCTGAGAAGTCCCATGCCTACTCACTAGGGCTTCTATCCACATCTGTGTAAGCAAGACTGCTTAGTAAATTTACAACTTAAACACATTGTAATCTCGTTGTCAGCCAACTAATAATCAGATGTGCTGGGGGTGATTGGAGGGGTAGTTCAAACCATCTAGTTTGGGATTGGTTGACTTAAATTATTAACAATATAAATTCTGATTATCATCCCTCGCTGGTTCCTCTATACTATATAGATGGTAACATCTCAACATGATCTTCTGTATTCACTCAATAATCTAGGAGGAAGCTAGTATTTTCATCAACATAGTCAAATCTGAATCATTACTGTACTGGACCTCGAAAAGGGATTCTCCCAGATTAGAGCATGTTCTTGCCTTTAAGTACCAGACCATATAACGTCACTTTTTCTGGTTTACTGCACAAACCAGAAACAAGTTTTCTTTTAGAAAACAAACACATTTTTAGTTCATATAGTACCTTCTTTGTGTTGCTCACTATTATTTTCAGTGAAATCCTTAAGGAGGCAATGAAAATTGGAAAGAAAGTCATAAACACAATAGGTAGGATTGTGTGCCTTTCCACACTTGGGCCCACTAGTAAAGCTCAGGCACTGTTGCTTGCAGGAAGTGTTTCCAGAAAGAATTTTAATGGGGCACAATTAACAACTAGCAATGCCTGTTTTAATAATACAAGGGATAAAAAGTCACCTTGAGTTCCCTTATCATGACTCAAGCCTTGAATCTCCTTATTCAGACAAAAGTGACCTATAAATAAATACAAGTTGCAGCTGTTAAGATTAATTTGAGGTTATTTCTAAACCTCACTTCTGCTGCACCCACAAAAATAACTTGAACTATTACTCCAAGAAACCAGAAAGAATGGCAAGATGACTTTCCAGGATTGGAACCAACATGTCTCTGAATTACCAAGTGCTAGAAAACAAGCACCGGAGAACTGGGGAACTTCCACCATATTCTGCTGCTGGGCCTTTCCAGAGGCATCTGGTTAGTCACTGCGGGAACAGGAAGTTGGACTATATAAATTTCTAGCCTCATCCAGCAGGTATCTTATGTTGTCTCAGAAACTGGACCAAAGATCCTCTCAGGGGGCATCTCAGAAGTAGGGGTGGAGATAAGGTTTAGTGCTATTATAACTGAAGTCAGAACTAGTTGTGTGTTTTGTTTTTAACTTCAGCATTTTCTTTTCACACTGAAAGGTCTCATCAGATAATGATAAAAGAACAATAAGATTTTTTTTTACCTTCTTCCCAGCAAGGGCTGTGCAGATGTGCAAAATAGCCTAAGTCTGTGCAAAACCTGGTCATATTGCACAAAAATGGTGATTTCTCTGTGTGTTTTCCCTATCTCTAAACTACAAGGCAGCACCTGTCATCACACAAGCAAATTCTCACTCCTACAGCAGGATTTTTCCTTGCTGCTCCTCTCCCAACTTGAAGGGAGCATGGGGGCCACAGAGGATATGGCAGGGGTTCCTTTCTTCCAAAAAAAAAAAATCCTTTGGTTGAACGCTAAGCTTGGAAGTGAGTTTCCAGTAACTCTAACATAACGGGTTGACAAAGCAGCAGCTCTCTTCAAAAGCCATTCTGAAAATGAGGGTATGTGAGGGGTTTCCCCTGTCCCTTTCTTCTCATGAAGGGACAATCCCCTACACTTCAGAATCTCGGACCTGTAAAACATTTTCTCCTGCCCTGCAAACCCCTCCACAGCTCAGTTCAACAGAAGGACTCCAAATGTCCACCAGCAGAAAGTTGCAATGAGCACACCCATGAAGAGTTCAAAAGTATGTGTACTTCACTCCCACTGGAAAGTTTTAGGGGAAAACTGCACAGTAATGGTACAGCAGTTGTTTTCAGTAAAGAAAGTCCAATTCAATTCCTAGTATTTCTAGGTAGAGATGGAAAGACCCATGTCTGAAAAACCCACTGCTGCTTAGTGCAATGATACTAAGGAAGATGTCCCACTGGCCTGAATTCCTTTAAAACGCCTTTCCTTGTTCCCACCTAAGCATGTCAAACTTTTTTCTGTATTTATTTTAAAAATGTTGCAAGCTATAAAGACAACAGAGGAAAGGATTCTGAGAGGCAGACGTGCAAGTGAGATGACCCCGTAGCACAGCTAGGAAATAACAATTCTTTTGAAATGCAACTATTAGGAGATCTATGGCAAGGGTACTCTGGAAGATGCAGGCCCAAAAAGTAACTTTCCAACCTCCCCTCAAGAATGTTTGGTGAATCCAGAAAATGTGTCCTGCCATGCCTTGCATGGTCAGGTCTTTTTCAGAAGAAGAAAACCAGAACAATCTCCCTCTGCCAGGGGAAATCAGAAGAAAGGAGGATCCGGCTGGCAGCCCTGTCCTAAAAGCATAGGAAATTGAGCCCCTGTCCCTGCCAGTTCCTGCAGGAAATGACGATAGTTTGACAGATGAGCATGCCTAACCCCTCCCCATCCCAGAGAACACAGAAACTCAGGATGTTGGAGAAGAGAACACAACAGAGGTGAAGTCAGCATCTCCAAAGTCAATCACCAGCAGGAGATAATAAGTACAGCCACCTGGAGAAGGTAGGGGGTCCCATGCCAAAGACAAGATATACAGCTATCCCAATACTACTGGAGACAACAATAAATATAGCTGGTTTTGGTGCCCACTGCAGCATTCCCCACCCCCATCTGCTAAGACCTCTTGTGAACAACTTGACTTGTTTATGACCATACTTCTATCGACTTCTTCTGACCTACTGCCTTAGAGTGTAAGTTGTCATGATGATGGGATATGTAGTCAGAGAAATGTAAGATGGAGTCAGACAGGTTCTCTGTGAAGATTATTTGAGAGACATTGGAATGTGTTTTTTAGGTGCTATGAGAGTGTTTTTCTGAAGATCTGTACAGCATGGGTGGAGATAGAGCTGAAAGTCAAATCAAGGGGCTCATGGAAGACTCAACATTCCAAGCTAATTAGAGAAGAAATAAAACACCTGGACTTTCATAGGAATTAAGGGAGGAAGGTGTTACAGTTCCTTGAGGCTAACTGGTTAACAGCCAGAATTGTCAAGAAGAAGGGAGGAGTTAGAGAGTGTAGAAAATGGACGATGGGTTATGTGAAAGAAGTTCTGTTCTGGATTTCGATTCCATGATGATGGGAGAGAAAGAAACTTGATTGAGAGGGGATGTAAGAAAAGAGAAAGAAGGAGGTGGGGCTAGCCCACTGTAGCCCACCTTAGTAGTGTTTATTATTTTAATGGGAAATAGTTATTTTATTTAACTGTAATGATCTTTAAATATGTTCTTTATGCTAAAGCTTGTGCCATATAAACTGATTCTATGAAACTCTATTTTTCGAATAAAAATTAATTATAAAAATTCTTACAAAAGGACTGGTCTCTTGAACAGCAGGGTCTGGCTAAATCTAGGAGGTGGAGAGGGCCACAAACTAGCTAAAGAGTCCTACCTGAGCTGTTGTGAGTTCTAAGGAATCACAAAGCTCATGTGTCTGTACTAGCAAAGTACTGGCTAAAAGCAAAGTGATCTTTTAAGGTCAGACTTGTTCAGCTATGTACTGCTGAGTTCTTGGGACTTGCCCCAGTGCAAAGGTGGTAGGTAAATGTCCTGTCAAACTCTCTGATTGAATGCTAGGCATTTTTTAGGGGGCCCTGGGCACCACATAAGTGATTGACAGACTGACTACTGCCCAGTGGCTTTGACCTCTGGCTACTGTGTGCATACTCTGTGAAACCGTTAAAACTGCTCTGTGTTCTCACCTGGACTGGCCTTGGATGCCCCAGAACTCCTGCCATTTTTAAACATGAAAAGCCTGAACAAGGTCTTTGAAATAAAGAGACATTGAGGGAACCTTAGAATATACCACATTGTCAATGAGGTCACCTGGACTCTTCCTAGTGTCCTAATGAGCAAAAGATGGCAGTTCCACGGAAAATCAGCAAGCATGGAAGCACCTAAACCCAATTGCCCAATGATTCTTATTGATCTAACAGGAACAACCAGTACATTGGATCTAACATATATTCATTGGGACTTAAGCTGGCCATGACTATCCCATTAACCAGTCATTTCAATGGGCCCATGCTAAATATGTGTAAAGCTGGGTCCAACTCACTATTTCTAAGGCAGCCAGTACTTACCCTTTTCATAAACAAAAATATTCCTTATCAAAGCATATGGCATAATTTGCATAGAAAGATTCAGCCATCTCATTTTTTTAACAGATGTCCCAATCAAATCACATTTTGAGCTGCTTATCATCTTGACATGCTTAGCTTTCATTGTTGAAAATGCTCAACATTCACTGATCTGTAGAAAAATTACATACAGATTGTCCCAAATACTTTAACTCCAGACACCAATGTTACCCTCTCACAGACATAATGACAAAAAAGACATAGCAAATGGGGAAAGGACAAAGGGAACTAAAAGAAGGAACAGTTCTCTTAATTTAAAGGGGCTTTTTAACTTTGGGATAGATTAACATAAAGCCCTGCAGCCTTTTTATAGTCTTCTTATCTTCTCTAGTTTTCTGGCTTTTTTTTCTAGTCTCCAGTTCTCTCAGAACTGACAAACCACTTTTTAAAAACCTGTAGCCCTTCCAGATACTACCTTCCAGAGATTGTTCAGTCTGTGTTGTCTAAGATGAAGGACTACACTTTTCTAATTTTCAACTCCCAGCAAGTTACAACAATTTTCATGTCAAATAGCCATGCTGGCTGGGGCTGATAGGGCCTGTAGTCTAACAAATGAGAAAGCCAGGGGTTGGTCTCCTGATTTTTAAAGTAATAACAATAACAATAGTGATGGTGATGATGTGCCATCACGTCAATTCTGACTTACGGCAACTGTTTTCAAGATTTTCCAGGTAGAGAATACTCAGACGTGGTTTACCATCTCTTCTTCTGGAGTTGTCCTGAGGCTGTGCAGCTTGCCCAAGGCTACATAGGCTGGCTCTACTTACAGGAGTCATAGTGAGGAATCAGACTCCGAGCATCTGGCTCTGCAGCAAGATACCTAAACTACTGAGCTACCCAGCCAGCCAGCTTTTAATGTAAGAGTTGGAGTTTTGTAGTTCTGCAGATGTTGCTGGACTGCAACTCCCATCAGCCCAAGCTAGTATAGACAGTGGCAAAGTATCATGGGAACAGCAGTTTAATAACATCTAGAAGGCCAGCGATTGGCCACCCCTGCTTTACTGAAACCTCACTGGAAAAAGCAAGTGTGTAAAAAAAAAATTAACAGTAAGCATAACAGTTGCCAACAACAAGCTGTTAAACAGAGCTGTTAATGGGGTATTTATAAAGATTAATGCAAGCTTCTGGGAAAATATCTGGCTCCAATCTAAACACATCTGGCAATGCATGACACTTGAGAAATACAACAGTTTGCTCTTTCTCACCATGTTAAAATTATATGAAATGATTACTTGTGTAAAAAAGAAAATATTACCTGGAGCTCGTCCAGACATGTCATCCATGCAGTCCCTGTAGTTGGCTGCAATGAGTTTATACAAATGGGTGATATCTGATGTATTCCCAGCTGCTGCCAAGGCTTCCGCAGTAGCCAAATGCATGACAGTATCATCGCTGACCCGCCAGCCTGCCACATCGATTTTGGCCACACCGCCCATTTCAGCCACTTCTTGGTGAATCTTCTCCCCGTTGCGCTGGAACTCCCATTTTCTATTGCAAAATCCCAGGGCATCTCCAGCTGCACTCAGCACCATCGCAGCCACATAGTTCTCCAGCAGGCCGGAACACATGATCTATCCCCCACACCAACCCAAGAAGGACAGATTAAAATAAAGCCTTCAACTCTAAATGTAGGCTGAAATTGTAATGCAAGCAAACTGATCCTTATAGATTTCAACCTACAGCACATAATCATCACCATCTTAGGACTGTAGAGCTGGAGGGAACCGAACTCCTGATATCTGGTTCTGCAGCCAGATACTTAAACCATTCAGCTATCCAGCAGTTCTGCATAACAGTTACTCATTTTGTAAATAAATCTGCCAATCACTGTAAATTCAGTCTCTTTCTTGTATGGTTATGCATGCATTGAGATCGTTGAACAGATTAAACAGTAATATTCCCACAACTCAACATGTGCAGCAAGGGCAGACTGAGACAGCAGCAAACTGTTACCTACAGTCATTCATATGTTTATTTGCACCTTTGTATACTAACTGTATACATGTAGGCTTCTAAATGCAACCAGATTTTGAACAAGCACAGGCCTTAATCATGCACATACAATTCAGACACGAAATGCAGATGAGCAGATGAATGTGATTGTCTGCACACCTGTTCCAGATCCGTGCATTTGGATGCATAGAAGTTCAGTGGGTAAAGCCAATTTGCTATGTATTTGTGTACTGTACTGTATCTATACAATTAAAGATAAAAATCTGAAATAATTATAAACACAGGATGACACACCATACACAGAGAAATTCAATTCTTCAGCATATCATTGCAAGTCCACACCACTATCGGCACCAAACATAAAGCAACATTTATCGTGGATTTTCCTTGTACCAATGTGCATTTATGGCTCAAGGTTGGCTCAGCCTTCCATCCTTCAGAGATCAGTAAATTTAGTACCCAGCTCATGTGGGGAGGGGGATGTGTAGCCTGCATAATTAAACGTAAACTGCCCAGAGAGTGTTTTAAGTGCTGTGGGGTGCTATATAAACAGCACACTTTCATTACAGTGTATCTGATTTCATTCTGGAAATGTATTCCCTTTTTGGAAAAAATGCTAGCTGTGATCTTTCCTAGAGGTCTATAAAGTTCTACAGGGCTTTTGGGGAGATGTTCAGGCATTAGAATTCCTGACTTGACACTGGCTTGTACAAAAAAATATCCCTGTTTTAAATTCCTATTCCTTGCTACCTGAATCATTCTACTAACCCTGGATTTCAGGGGCAGCTAGTATACATCGTGATTTCTGGGCCAGAGCTACAACGGTCGGACAGAGTTGGACCCAAGGTAAATATTTATGTACATACACACATACAAAGAGACATGAAGAAGACAGACAAGCATTCATACATGCACTCTGTAGGGAAGTAACAAAGACAGGAAGGTAGACATCAGTTGGCTGGCATTGCCACATGCCCTAACAGATGAGTCACGATTCCTGCAGAGGCCTACATCCAACACTAAAAGAAGAAAGGTCCTACTTCCACTCCTCTCAGACACATCAAGAGCTGCTTTGATTATTTTTATAGAGGTAACTGTATACATAAACATTTAACAACATAAACAAAAATAAATAAATGGTGGCCACTGGATTTTGCAGTACCAGTTACAACCAGGGAGGGAATAACCGGTAAAGAAGAGAAATAGCTGAATAATGTTTATTTATTTACTTTACTTTACTTACATGCCTCCCACACTACCCAAAGATCTCTGGGTGGCTTACAACAATTTAACTACAGTAAAAAAGGTAAAACAATTAAAATACAATTAAAATATATACTCTAAAAATTGCCATCAGGACCCACAGTTGATATTCTTTCAATTAAACGCCTTCTGGAACAGGAACGTTTTGACCTGGCCCCGAAATGTCATCAGTGTCCATGCCAAATGAATCCCAGTTGGGATGGCATTCCATAGTCTGGGGCCAGCTGCCAAAAAGGCCCTTTGTCTACAAGCTATCCCTCTTACCTCCTTGAGGGAAGGCTCTTTCAAAAGGGCCCCCTGGCTAGATTTTAACTGCCCCCATAATGTACTGTAGTCATATCTATTTAATCTCATCTGTTATGAAAATGAGGCCTAGGGACACTACAGATGTGAAACAATACCAATGGGATGCAGTAAAGAGAGGCTCCTGTAGTCACCATTTTTAATGTCATGTTTGTTTTACAATATAATAGTGTCATTGGGAGAGTAACCTATCATGCACGTTGTGATTAGAAGTACGAAATTAACATCATATGTGGACTAATACACTGCAACCATTTCCAGCAAAAGCAGATTTCAGGAGCATGTGCTTTAATTTGACATCTCTCTGTGCGTGTCCATGTGCTGTCGAACTATATTTCTGCCTGACTGAGGCATTACACACGTGACTATGGATTATGTGTCCAAATGTATTTTAAGCGGAGGCCATCAAGATCAGGGCTGCTTTATTCCAGAGTTGTTTTCCTGCTGTAAGTGGAAGTACTCCCGGAGTAAACGGACTTGGGCAAGCAGTCCTGTGCTGCGGTCCTTGTGCAGTGATCCGACTGCCATTGTGACTTTCGGTTACACACGGTTAAAAATACAACAGAGGAGTAAAGAAGTAAAGAGATGCCATTTCCGCCTCTCTTCCGAGCAGGTGTCTTTTCTTACCAACCCGACCCTGCCGCTTCTCGGCGTGTGGGAAGCCTGAGCAACTCCGAGGCGTGTAAGGAATCCTTTTTGTGAGGCGCAGAGATGAACCCAAAGCGGGCCCTTCGGGTTCACCTCTGCTCCTCAGAAAGAGGGTTCCTCACGACGCCTCGGAGTTGCTCAGGCTTCCCACACGGCCGCCGCGGAGAGCGAGAGCGCGCTTCTCCTTGGCTCCCGGGCACGCCTTCGTCGCCTCGAAAGCGGCTCTTTAACGGGACAGCGCGGCGGACTCCCACAAGGCACAGCTCTCGCACAGCCTCTCTTCACCCCCCCCCCACACACCTTTCCTCCCACACCACACTTCGCTACCGCGACAACCGACGCGCACTCCCTCACGAGCCAGGTCCCAATAAGTCATTATAGGTGGCGGGGGCGGAAAAGGCGAAGCGTTTGTCCTCCCCGTCCTACTTTTATACATTATTTTCATGCACGCTCCCCCATCCCGGGACGGAGCGGCGCTTGCCATGACGGGCCATCCCGCTCCCCTAAAGGCTTCACAGCCTCCCCGCCCAAAATGTGTGCGGATCTTCTTGGACCGACTTCCGCGTAAACGCGCGCGGGGCTCTCGGGTGGAACATTTCCAACCCCATTCCCACCAGTTCCCTCTTCCTCCTCCTCCTCCTCCTCCTAGTCGCACCTCAGCTTGCTCTGGAGCAACGGCAAGCGGACGGACTCCCAGGTAGCCCCACTCCACCGACCCCGGGGTCTTCCCGTCAACGACGCGCGCTACCCAGGCTCCACGCCCCAGCGGGCATTTTCCGGCCCGCTGAACGTCGCCTCCTTCAGAGCGGCAAAGGGGCTCCGAGAAGGGAAGAGGGCTGGGCGAGACGGACAGACGCGACCCTGAACACCCCGAACCTACTTGCCGAGAAGTTTCGCTGCTGCGACGGCCGAGCCTGTGAAACGCCCTAGGTGGAAATCCCCTTTGCACCGAATGTAAGAGTCTCTGGAAGAAGGAAGCGAGAGGGGGCCGCCCTGGTCCCGGCAGCCGCCAATCGCCCGCCTCGAGCCAGTCAAGCGAGAGGAAGGAGGAGCCCGCGCTGGTCGCCGCCGCCTCGGCCTTTCGAAACGGGAAGGACCGATACTCTAGCTCCGGGGGGGCGGGACGGAGGCGCCGAAACGGGACGGCCGCTTGGAGAGCCGAGGGGGAACACCCGCCTCTCCTCAGGGCTTTGGGTCCGCTCGGCTTTCACGCCGGAAGAAGCAAAGGAAAGAGGCGCAAAATGATCAGCCCCAAAGCCCGGAAACGGTCCTCCTTTTCGGACGACAACTCCCAGACCTTCCCTCACGGGGCTGAGGATTTTTTTGGAGTTGTACTGAAAAAAAGGGGGAAGAAGGGACGTTTCCAAGATGTGCCCTCCTTAAGTTTGCAGACATAAGAGACCTCTGGGTAGAGTGGGCGGCATAGAAATTAAATAAATAAATAACACATACACACTCACCCATTTGGAAGTGGCCAACCCCATTCACTTGCTTCGGAGGCAACCAGGACCGGGTGGTCGAGCGTCGCGATGGCGAGGAGATTCTCGACCTCCGAGTCGCCCCTCAGCGGCTGCTTCACCTCTTGGTGCTGCCTGTCCCGGAGACGCTCGGGCCGGATCCTGTTAACGCGGGCCTGCGGCAGTTTGTTCCTTGGGGACTTCTTTCCGTTGCATTCTGTGGGGCATTTGCGAAGCTAAGGGTCTAAAGGCATGCGTGTCGGCAGGCAGCAGCGGATGCTCCCCCCCCCCATGCACCTGGCTTTGCGATGTTAATAATGTACGCGGTCGTGGGGTGTGCTGGGCGCGAGAATGATGCTGGCATTCTGCTATGCCGTTTTCCCTCCTCCTCCCGGGGGAAAAAAAACTCCTGTGTACAGTATAGTGTATTCTTGTCCAAGGCTGCTTCCGAATGAGCCTCTGCTCTTGTCTCAAACAAAGTTTGTTTACTGGGCCAGTGTTCTGGTTTGGATAGTCACTTTTAGTATTGGATCATTCAGCACTTGCAACCAAGGTGAGCTTTTCCGTTCGCCAAAACTTTTTTTAGACGGAGCAAAATTTGGGGATGAATGGGGCGAAAAACAAAAGCTCTAGCCTTCTATTACACAAGTTCAAACTCTTCTGAAGGGGAGTTCTGCAAAAGCTTAAAGCCTGCTTCTTCCTAAGATTTTAGAAGAGGTGGTCGTGTTAGTTTGTGCTAGCGTATCAGGCAAAAACAAGAGAAAAATAAAAAAAGACTAAAACGTTGTGGCACCTTAAAGACTAACTGCTATGTTTTAATGTGACTTTTCATGGACAAATCCACTTCCTCAGGCGTAAGAGATTTTAGTGATCTAATAAAACATTACCTGAGCCAGAATTTGTTTCTACTTGTAGGTGACATACCCGTTTTTTTTCCTTTCTATTTACGGTAACCTTCTAGGAGAGTCTCTGTTTTGCAACTGCTTCATTCACAGAGATTTAGATTTCCAGTCATTGCTTTTGAATTGCAGTCCTCCCTTGTTTTTTGCATCGTTTCTCTTGGCAGACAAAATCTGTCGATAACAAAGGAATAGGTTCAGGGTGCCTTTCAGTTGTGATCCTAAAGAAAAAAAAGACCGGATAGGCATACAGTACTTTCAGATTGGTAGCAACTTCAAGGACTCTAAGACAATGGGGGTGTTGTGCATGAGAATATTTAGCCAGATTTTGTGAGCAGTGCGTTCTTCTGTAGGGCTGCAATAAGTGAAGTCTTACTATATTCAGTGGGACTGAGGTAAAGTTTGATTAGGATTGCAGTCAAGGTTGCATATAGTGCAAGGGTGAGCAACTTGCAGTTTTCCAGATCTTGTTGGATTACAGTTCCCATTATCCTTAGTCAGCATACATGGTGAATGCTGGTGGGAGTTGCAGTCCAATAGCGTCAGTAGGAGCACAAGTTGCCCATTCCAGACTACATAAAAGTAATCAATCCTGCCATTGGTTCCTCAGCAACCAACATTCAGATAAATCATGATTCCTTGGATTCTGAAGGTAAGATATTGTTGTCATAGCGAATAGCCGCTCATCCTCTCTCACATCAACCTGCCTAATTCTCTTAAAGCCATGTAAACTGGTGACCAGCAACAACACCTCTCATGAATGTGAGTTCCATAAATGAATGGTTTGATGAAAAGACATTGTCAGTCTTCAGTCTCCTACTAATCCATTTCCCTGGATGATGCTTGCAGCTTCCAGTCAAAGCAAGAGCTCATCCGCCCCGCCCCCCCATCTTTTCCAAAAGGTACAACATACACTTGGCTGGCAATCTGAATTTAGGCTCGAAATCAGAGGTGGGAGACTCTGGCCTTCCAGATTTTTGAACTATAGCCTTAGGCAGCAGAGCAAATGGTGAAGTATTGTATGAGTTGCAGTCCAACAAAATAAAATAAAAAATTCTATGGTCATATTTACACAATCCTGTTTTGAACGATAAAAACAAGAATGACTCTCATGCCTGTTAGAGATGGGCTGGAGGAGACTCTTGAGAGTCCCCGGGACTGCAAGGAGACCAAACCTATCCATTGTAAAGGAAATCAACCCTGAGTGTTCACTGAAAGGACAGATCCTGAAGCTGAGGCTCCAATACTTTGGCTCATGAGAAGAGAAGACTCCCTGGAAAAGATCCTGATGTTGGGGAAATGTGAGAGCAAGAGGCGAAGGGGATGACAGAGGACAAGATGGTTGGACAATGTCATTGAAGCTACCAACATGAATTTGACCCAACTCCAGGAGCCAGTGGAAGACAGGAGGGCCTGGCGTGCTGTGGTTCATGGGGTCACTAAGAGCCAGACATGATTAAACGACTATACAACAAAAAGAACGAGCTGGGATTTTTAGCATGTATACATTGCTGAAACAGCGACGTCTACGTTGGCTTGAGTATGTTGTGATAATGACTGTCAGATTCCAAAAGATCTCCTGTATGGAGAATTAGTGTAGGGAAAGCTCCCCAGAGGGAGACTACAGCTGTGATACAAGGATATCTGCAAGCGGGATCTGAAGGCCTTAGGAATAGACCTCAACAGATGGGAAACTTTGACATCTGAGTGTTCAGCCTGGAGGCAGGTGGTGCAGCATGGCCTATCCCAATTTGAAGAGGCACTTGTTCAGCAGACTGAGGCCAAGAGGCAGTCCCGAAACCAACCAAATCAGGGAGCTGGACAGGGGATAGATTGCATTTGTCTTCAGTGTGGAAGGGATTGTCACTCTCTAATTGGCCTTCTCAGCCACACTAGATTCTATTCCAAGACACCTATTTACAGCATGTTACCATAGTCTCTCGAGACTGAAGGATGCCTACTAATTCAGTTGGATTGATAGAACCAAGGTATATAAAATGTTTTGCTATTTCAGTTTCTTCATTGTCAACACTAAACCTCTATATTTCTTCTGCAGTCATGATTTTTCTTTTCTTAACATGCAGGTGCAGCTGTGCTTTGACACTTTCTTTCACTTTCACTAAAAGTTGCTTCAGGTCACTACTGCTTTCTGCCAGTAACAGGGTGTTATCTCTGTATCTTACATTATTGATGTTTCTTCCACCAGTTTTCATTCCTCCTCCATCTGTATTTAGTCTGGCTTTCTGTATGATATGTTCTGCATACAGATTGAATAGATAAGAGAATAAAGTGCCCTCTTGTCTAACACCTTTCCCTATAGGAAACTGTTTTGTCTTTCTATATTCTGTTCTAACATAAGCTTCTTGTCCATAATACAAGTTAGGCATAAGGAGAATTAAGTGCTCAGGAACATCTTTTCTTTCAGAACAAACCATAATTTCTCATGATCTATACCAGTGGTTCTCAACCTTGGGTCTCCAAATCTTCTTGGATTACAACTCCCAGAAATCCTAGCCAATACAGCTAGTGGTGAAGAATTCTGGTAGTTTTTGTCCAGGACTATCTGGGGACAAAGGTTAGAAACCACTGATCTACACAGTTAAAGGCTTTGCTGCAGTCTATAAAGCATAGACTGCTCTTCTTCTCAAATTCCTTAATGTGGTTCAATGGCCAGCAGATTTTGAGTGCCTATTTCTTTCCAGAATCCAGCTTGAACATGAGATACTTCTCACTCCATATAAGATAAAAGTGTTGCAACACCTTGAGCATCACTTTGCTTACATGGAAAATTAAAACAATGGTCCTATAGCTACTCCTTGGCATCTCCTTTCTTAGTAATTGGAATGTATAGTGAGCATTTTCAGTCTGTGGGGCACTGTTTTGTTTTCCTTATTTGTTGACATATTCTTGTTAGGATTTTGATAGATTCAGTCTCTGTGTCTTGAAACAGTTTTATTGGTATTCCATCTACTTTTGCTGATTTGTTTCCAGGGCTTTCAAAGCAGCTTTTACTTCACTTTCTAGAACTACAGATTCTTCATCACAGGAGTCCTCTTCAAATAAGTCTGTCATCTCTCTTGAATAGGTCTTCAATGTACTGTTCCACCTTCTCTTTATTTTGTCCTAATCAGATAATGTGCTTCTCCGTTGGTCATTCAGCATTCCTAATATAAGTTTGATTTCCCCTTTGATTTCCTGGAGAGACCATTCCCCCACTTTTGTTGTTCTCCTCTGTTTCTTTGAACTGGTGGTTATTGTAGTTATAACATAGGATATAAAAGGAAAAGATGCCCCAGAGTACAGGAAGACAGGAATAGATACAGAAGTGTGGAGATAGGATAGGAGGAAGGAAGTGGAGATGTGGACCTCACCAAGCTCTAGTGAGAGGTGGACTATGCTTCTTCTGACCAGCCTGATATCATCTACCACATAATGAATGAATGAATGAATGAATGAATGAATGAATGAATGAATGAATGAATGAATGAATGAATGCTTTATTATGGTCAAAGACCAATAAAACAAAATCAATATAAAATAGATACATTTAATTATAGTTTGGTAAAGTCACATGTCAATCTACCACATGTTTGTTCTAGCCCATGCCGCATGAGAGGACTGCTGGCCCACCACAGGACCCAGAAGAGGCCAGTGTTCCTCTGAGTGAATCTGCCATTCAGGAAACTGAGGATTGTTATGGGGGGGGGGGAAGAACACACCTGGTGATGGGACATGAGAGCCTAGCCAGAGGGGGCCAGCTGGAGCAGAGACTGTGCACAGCCCAGGGAG